GAATGCCAGCACAGCCAAGAGATTCTGGGACACTGAGGAGCTGGATGGAGGGGGTTTGTGTGTTTCTCTCAACGGAGGTTGGAAGAAAGGGCGGGGGTGGGGGGGCTGGCCAGAGATTTCCGGAGGCACAAATCAACTGCTAAGAGTAGGAAGAACACCCTCCTTAGATGCTGGACAAAGAAGTAGCCCTTTTTCTCTCCGCCCCCAACACTATGTCTGGCGCCTTCCATGGGACAGAGAGACTGCGACGTGTCTTGAAATGGATGTGCTGGGCCGTCCAGCACGGTGCCAGGAAATCCCTATAAAATGAAGGGAACAGACACTGCGGGGAGCCAGAGAGGGGACCTACCCGGAGCCTACCAAGCCCCAGGTGCCTTATCACAGGACCTCATTCATTCCTCCCCGATTCCTAGGGGAGCAAAGTTCTTCCCCTTCTTTTACAGAAAGTGGTGGCTCCAGCGGCTCAGAGAGGTTAAGCAATTGCCTGAAGTCACATGGAGAGCGGCAGAGCCGAGATTTGAACCCTTCTCCCACCATCCCATGCTGCCTCCCAGGAAAATCAGAAATAAAGACTCCATATCGGTGACAGCTTCAGGAATAACCAAAGTGGCAGGAAACGATGCCTTGCAACCAGCTTTCCGAGGCAGTCTTCTGGCTTTGGGGCACTCAGGGGCCAGCACGCACCTGCTGAAGGGCCTCCCAGGGCGTGATGGAGAAAGGCAGGGGACACTCCAGCTGGCTCACCCACCAGCCCTTTTTGGAGCTCTTCATTCAGGCCGCCAGCCCAGCCCCTTCCGGCTCGTGATCAGAAATAGCTGTGACAAAAGTCCCTCCCATCCCTGAAAGTAGCTTTTTAAAAAATGCTTAAAGGCAGACACACAAAAAGGTGGAGCAAACCCTACCAAACCCCAACCGAGGGCAGATGATGGGAGCATCACCTCAGAGTAGTGGGGAAAGCTTTCAACGGCAGGCAAGGTCTTCCCAACTTGGCTTTGTGGGTCAGCTCCCTCTGGGCCTCAGTTTCCCCACCTCAAAAATGAAAGTAACTCAGCTAAATCAGCAATTTCTCTCTCTCTCTCTCTTTCTTTTTGTAAGCTGTAGAACCCTGTTTTCCAATGGGACCTTCCTCAGAAGACCAATCTGGCAGTCGGGGACATAGAGCTGCTATGGTTGATGGGGGCCAAATCCCAAGTGCTCAGCACCACCTCTCACTGTCCCTAGAATTGCCCCGAGGCACCCAGCTCTGGATCCCAGGGCTCCAAAGGGCCCCTCTGGGAACCATCAGGCTAAATGATCACTGTGGTCCCTCCTGGCTCTCAAGCAAAGCTCCGATCATCCAACCACCAAGGAAAAACAAACCAAGCCCTTCATGCTGACTTGAGTCAGGGGCGCAGACACTTGGCAACCTGCAGGGTGAGGGAGGGAAACCCAGACAGTTCCAAACCATACTGGGCCTGGGGCAGGAGTGGGGGGAGGACTGCCAGTCCGTGAGGCAGGAAGAACAGCCTTGCCCCAGACCCCTTTGAGTCACAGACTAAAGTATAGGGTAAGTTGGGAGGGGTCACCAAAAGGAACCCCCTCCTGTAAAGGTGGAGGACCTAAGGCTCAGAGAGGGCAGCAATTGGCCTGAGGTCACACAGCACCTAGTATCAGAGCCTGACCTGGAGTCTGGATCTCTGAGAAGCGATGCCGAGAAATCCCCACTTGTTTAAAGTTCAGACAGACTCAGCAGGAATCTCCAGGGAAAAGCCCCCAGCTTGCAAACTCAGAATAGGACATTTTGGTGGCACTGGGCGGTGAGAGGACAGAGATGTGTGTTTTGGTTTCCAAATCAACGCTTGACAACATCGTCGACGGTACAGTTGGGGCAACCACATTTCCCTCATGGTAAAGAGCTCAGAGCTGGTCGGCCCAAGGGGAAACCAGAGCCATAGTGAACAGGGCCCAGGGCCCAGGCACCCCAGGCCAGCGGCTCTGGTTTGGGTTGGTGTTGTTTCCAAAGCATGGTTCCCATGCCATTAATGGCACCCAAGATGATGTGAGGTGGTACAGGAGTGACTCCTCATATTTAAATTCTACTGACTGCATAGGTGAACCAATAAACAAACTATGCCCTGTCTGCACAGTGGAAAATTATTCACCAGTCTAAAGGAATGTAGTATTGAAACACGCTACAACGTGGATGAACCTCCAAAACATTATCTAAGTGAAAGAAGCCAGACACAAAAGTATAATTGCATTGATATGAAGTGTCCAGAAAAGGCAAATCTAAAGAAACTTCTCTCACGGACAGGGGACCAGAAGTGGGCTGGGAGCTCAAACTCAAGATTGTATTTTGTCAAAGCTGGGAAGACCTTTTGAGATCATCTAGCCCAGCGGTTTTTAAATTTTTTCTTTTAAGTTGTTGAGATGCCTGCCCTCCTCCCGAAAGCAAATTCTCACGAGAAACCCAAATACAGAAACAAGTAAAAACAGAATGTTACTGGTATACATTTATACTGTAAGTTCACATACAGAACAGTGACCTATTCTGAATTCCATCAGTAAAGTTGATGAGGCTATTTTGATTCATTAACATTTAGAACTGGGACCTACGGATGACAGTACCATATGGCGTTTAATTCTATCTCCAGTTTTGGCTGCAGGGTTTCAGGAAAATCCTGACTCACACAGATAAGTGGCTACAAATGGGAATGGTTTTTAGCGGTTTGCTCTGCAATCTCAGAGTACTCTTCAGACAAATAGAGAAGGCAGGCGGGGTGGCTTTAACTTGAGGCCAACTACTAACAAGTTAACAATTGACAATGAGTTGACATTAAAAACTTAAAAGTGAGCACATTTTTATAACCCTATTAACACTATAATATAATTTAAAATATTAAGTCTTATGTAATAGTCAAGGAACCCCAAGACCATCTCCAAGGAAGCCTGGGGCTTCAAGGAGCACAGTGCTAGCCCACTCACCCCTCACTTTACAAATAGGGAAACTGAGTCCCAAAGAAGGGAGTACACTTGCTTTGGAAAAATCCAACTTGAGCCCTGAACTGACTTCAGAAAAGATGCACCTCCCCAGTTCACCAAAAAATGGAGGAATAGAAGGCGCTCACACAGCCCAGGGGATGGGAGGAGAGGCACCCACACTCCACCTGCCTGCCCCAGCAGTGCCCATCTCATTCCAGGCCAGCGCCAGAAGCTGACATCACACCCCACACCCTGGGTGCAACTTGAACAGAGCATTGCTCAACGCCAACCTATCTCCCTCTGAGATTGGGCATGGTTTTTCCATCTCCTTAGTAGCCAGGTCCAAAAAGCACACACAATAAAACAAACACAGCAGAAGCCTGAGGCATGACGACACAATCAACAGTGGGAGACAGAAGGGCCCATCCCTCTGTGTTTCACCATCGAGAGCAAGTGCCTGTTCCCCTACCCCACCCCAGCGAAGCTGCCCACAGAGGCAGGTAGCTCCCCCTGGCCATGGCGGGGCCCCAGGCCATTCTCAAGTCCTCACAAGAAGACGGGCCCAGGAGAGTGGCTCGTCCCCAGCGGGGTGTAAGACCTCCCCACAGAGAGCCAGGCCCTGCGTGAGAGAGACCCAAGACTCTCCTCTCGGGACCTCTGCTCCATGCTGGCCTGACAGAGCCTATCAACTTTAATAACATCAACTGATTGCTCTATCCCTTCCAAAAAGCACCACCGACCTACTCTCCCCTTCTGCAACTAGGGGTAGATTTTATTATTCCTATCTGTCTAATGAACAAATAGGTTTCCAAATGGTCCAACGATCTCCCTGGCAGGTGATGGAGGAGACCCATGCCCTGCTCCCTGAGCAGACCTCTGTACTCATGTGAGCACCAGGGCTCAAGGGCCTTCTCACAACACCCTCCAAGCCCTAGAGTTTGGAGCCGAGGCTCCCAATGCAGAGTTGCCCATGCCTGGGATAGCAGAGGGCCCTGCCCCCACCCAGGCCTGTGAGGCCACCGACAGACCCCTCTCCTCTTATTGGAAGCTAGCCATCAGTCCTGTCAGCCAGGCTGCGGACAGGAAGCAGCATCAGTTTTCCAGCTGGGGAATAGGGGGACCTGGCAAGAATGTTCAGGCCAGTCCTGCAGGCAGTCTGCCCTGCGCGCTAGCCAGAGATGGTGGTCTGGGTCCAGTCGACAGCCAGTCTTCAGCCCAAGGTTCTCTCCTCCTGTGCGCCTTTAGGGCTGCGTCTATTGGCACTCAATAAGCCATGACAGTAGGGGTTGGGGAGAAGAGGGGTGAGGAGAGGGGGTTTTGAAAGCTTGTGGCCAGTCTAATGGTAGTCTGGTTATCCAGACCCACCAAAGGGACCTTGCAGAGCTGGAGCAAGATGGCAGACTCTGGCCCTAGTGGGTAGGGACAGATTTACCCATTTTCAAACACATGATCTCATTTAATTCAAGGGACAAAAAAAAATAAAAATAAAAAGCCAGTGGGTCGGTTGAGTTTCTTCTTTTCACCCATGGAGGGAGGGGAGCCCACCTCCTACATCCTTGGGGAAATACCTATAGTGGGAGACAAACTAGCCAAAAGTCGTTCAATTCACTAGTTTGAATCCTGGTTTCGCCACTATCGGCCAAGCCCCCTTTGGCAAGCCCCTTGCATCGCTGTGCCTCAGTTTCCTCATCTACAAAATGGGAATAAGAATGCCTTACACTCTGCGTTGGCATGAGGATTAAATGAGATCACATAAAACACCAGTGGTCATTATGTCACCTAGAAAACAACCGGCCCCGACCAATGACAGCACCGAAGTGTCCTCTATGGTAGTAAGCACCCGCCCCCATTCTTGGAACTAGTAAGTGAGTTTTCCAAGCGTGTGTAGGGCGCTATGCAAACACAGCTTCCAGCCCACCTGCTAGGACCAGCTGGCCGCCCCCAGCCCCTCCCGAATGCACGCATTCCGCGGCCTCCCAGACCTGGACGCCCCCTCCCCAGGAGCTGCTGAGTGGGGGGAAGGGCAGGTCCCCACTCACCTCCGCTTGTACTCGTCGCGCTCGCGCTTCACCTTGGCCAGCACGTTGTAGAGCGCGCGTATCTCAGGCGTGATGGTGTCGATCTGCACGCCCACGCCGTCGGGGTGCACCCACGACACGCCGGGGCCCTGCACAGTCTCCACGCCGCCGCCGCCCGTGCGCCGCACCTGCGTGTAGCTCCAGATGGTCCCGGGCAGGCGGCCGTAGTGCTGCGGGTGCGAGCCGCCGCCGGGGGGCAGGCCGCCCAGGGCCACGGTGTTGGCGTTGGCGCCCGCCGTCGCGCCGCTGCCGCTGCCGCTGCCGCTGCCGTGCCCCACGCCGGGCGCTGGCGGCCGCAGCAGCTCGGGCCCGGTCTGCACGGCCTGCTCTCTGGAGAAGGTCTTGTAGCGCAGCCGCCGCTCGCGCTCGCTCTGCTGCTGCTCCAGCTGCTTCTCCAGCAGCCGGTTGCGCCGCTCCAGCTCGTGCACCTTGGCCAGGAAGCAGCGGAAGCGCACGTTGAGCCCCTTCAGGAGGTGGATGTTGGAGCCCAAGTCGTCCCGCAGCGCCGCCGTCACCGGAGACGGCCCCGGCCCGGCCCCGCCGCCGCCACCGCCCCCGCCGGGGCAGCTCCCGCCGCCGCCGCCGGGCGGGCAGCCGAAGGCCAAGGCCATCTCCCCGAACAGCAGCGAGTTCACCATGCGCCGGCTGCGCGGCTCAGGGCCCCGGGCCCGCGGCTCCAGGTGCGGCTCCAGCTCCGGGCAGGGCTCCCGGCGCGGCCGGGCCAGGGCGGGCGCGGGCTCCAGCGCGGCCGGCCGGGCGGTTCCAGATGCGCGCCAGATGCGGCCTCCGCAGAGACGGCGGACCGGACCGCCCCCTGGATGTGGGCGCCGAGGCGAGGGACGGGACTCGGGCCGCGGTGGAGGCCGCGAAGGCTGCGTGAGGTGGCGCGGGCCGTGGGTACCAGCGCCGCGGCTGTCAGAGACGCTGTGGAGGCGCCGCGGCAGCGGCGCGCAGAGGACTCTCGGCCGGCACTGCCCCTCTGCGGCGGGCCCCGCCCACTGCAGACACAGGCCCCGCCCCCGCCCTCGCCCCGCCCATCCAGCCTCCCTCTGCGGCGCTCCCGGAGCCCAAGGCCCCGCCCCCGAGGCCCGCAGCGCCGGGCCCCACCCACCAGCCCGTGTCTCCGCCCACTCCCGCTCTCCGCCGCTTTCTGGGCTGGGTAGACCTGCTGTCTGCAGCTCTGGCTCCGCCCAGCTCCCGGCTGGACCACGCCCTCTCCCGCGCCGGGTCCTACCGCCCGGCGCGGCTCGGATGCTTTGCCTGGGGACGCGGACCGCAGAGCTGCACCAGGCCCGCGGTTAGCTGGAACCGCCGCAGAGCCAGCCCGGCCTCTTAAAGGGGCAGGCAGCCTGAGCAGCGCACGTTTCCCCGTTAGGGCGCCCCTTCCCCCCACGTCCTCTAACAAGGAGGCTCCGCTTCTCTCCTATCCCCACCCGGATCCCCCGGCCCTAGATTCCCAAGGCGTGTCCTGGAAGGGCTGGGGGGCCATAGCGTCCGAAGGTGCATCCGCACCCCACCCCCACTCCAACCTGGGGCGGCCTAGATCGACCTTCCCGGGATAAGGCAGCGTTTCCGCCGGCACGTCCCCCACGTGGTGGACCCGGGCAGGCTCCTCCACCGCTCGCCCCCACCTATAGGCGCGAGCTTGTAGTCCCGAGATCTGCTTGGGTACTGCTGAGCCCGCTGGTCTTCGGGCCCACCGAGGCGCCGCGCCGAGCGGTGGATGGGGGGGAGACTGAATGAAGACCCTCCCAGAATATGACACCCAAAAGCTCAGCCTGGGCTGCTGCCCCTCCCAGCCCTGAATGACCACCTCCCCACCACTGCACACTCACACGCTGAGATGCAGGGGACCCCACAGCTGGGGTACATTTCATCTAACCACTTAGGGGGCAGCATGCGGGCGGAGCCAGTCTTGGGGGCTGAGCCAACCCGAGGATTCAATTATTCATTCATTCGTTCGTTCAATCTTTTCAGATCTACCACCCTAAAGACCAAGTTCTCCAGCCTCCTGGAGTCTCTTGAACCAAATCGCAAATATCTATCATTATTTTCTTTTTTTTTTTAAAGATTTTATTTATTTATTTGAGAGAGAGAATGAGAGACAGAGAGCACGAGAGGGAAGAGGGTCAGAGGGAGAAGCAGACTCCCTGCTGAGCAGGGAGCCCGATGTGGGACTCGATCCCGGGACTCCAGGATCATGACCTGAGCCGAAGGCAGTCGCTTAACCAACTGAGCCACCCAGGCGCCCTCTATCATTATTTTCTTAATGATAATAATAGCTCCCATTATTGAGCGCTTCCTATATGTCAGGTGCCATACATAGTTATTATCCCCATTTTACAGAGCAGGTCACTGAGACCAGAGGAGCAACAAGCCATTCCAAAGCACATGCTCTAACCTGCAATCCTACACTGCCGGCCTCTTGTGCGTTTTCCCATTTGATCCTCTCCATAAACCTCAGAGGGGAGGTGACCACACCTTTGAACGCCTGTGGCTTTCGCTGTGTATACTTAATCAGACATGTGGCATGTTCCAGATTCTTCCAGCTGCATTTTTTGAATTGCAATTTAATTTTGTCTTATTAACTTTCGTGTTTTATCTCCTGTGTAAGCTTGAGGGCAGGTACTATCTTACAGGGACAATGGTTTGGTGTTCTCGGTGACAAAAGAGACACAAAGGAGACTTGGGCTTGCTCCGGGATGAGGTTGTGGTTGTTGTGTTCATCTGATGCTTTTGATTTGGTCACAAGAGCAAACCCTCCCTGTGCTTCCTTCCCTCAACCACAGCTCCTTGCTCCCTGCCAAAATGGGTTACCTTTACAACACTCAGCACCAAAACTCACCTGTCTTAAAACCTTCCTCTGCTTTGCCCAACCCAGTGTGGTCACTGTTCACTCTTTGGTCTCTCAGCTCTTGGGGATTTTGTTTCTCTAACCTAAAGAATCAAACCCCCTTTGCCTTAAAGCAGGAGTTCCGGACCCCCCCACCCAAGAATTTATGACACTAAGATGGACAAAAGTTTTATCTTTATTTTCGCTAATTTCTAAATGGTATTTAGCATCTTCTTTGATCATGAGTGCAGGCAACCAGTAGAAGTCCCTGCAATTTTGTCACTAATAGAAATCAAAGATATTTTCCTATCAATAACTATGGTTACTGTAGATATCTCAAAATACCATTTAAGCTACCACAACTCTGAAATTAAGATCGTATTAGACTCACCACTAAATCTTATTATTTAACATGTTAGTAAAGAAGCACATATGTTAGTATATCACAAAATTTTTTAAATATTTTGATAACTGTATTTTAGTAAAAATTTTTTTATTGTAATCCTAACACTATCTTTTTTTAATTATTCTGAAAAGAGGTCCACAGGCTTCACCAGCCATCCAAGGGGCCTGTGGGACAGAAAGGGTTAAGAAGCCACACCTGGGGAGTGGCTGCCCTACAGTCCTGTTCCAGGAAGGATATGTCCTACCCAGCAGCATTGCCCTAGAGTTGGGGTGTCGGGGGGCACCAAGCCCTGTCCTGGGCATTGGAGAGATTCAAACATTCCATGATCATTCACTGACCACTTGCTTCAGCACAGACCCTGCACTAATAGGAGGCAAGAGTTTAAGGAGTCCCGGGAGAGCTAACGAAGACAACCAAAAAGATCCTCCTGTGGCAAGGGGTTGGGGGGGGCTGGTGCAAGAAGGGACACCTGGCCTGGAGGAGGTGGCGGAGCAGAGACCAGAAGATCTAAAGGAAATGGGGGAAGTGGTACCCAGGCTGAAAGGAACTTCCAACAGAGTGGTAGAAATATGATACGTACCAACAAAATGGCTAGAAAATAGTGCTGTGGCCACATAGGAGCAAAAATGAGAAGCCGTGTGTCTTGCTCTTTGTGGGTAAGATGAGAGGGGAGGCTAACCTAATGTCCTTCTAATCAGGTGACCAACTGTCTTCATTTGCTTCATTTTGCATCATTCACCTTGATGCGGGGTTTTCAATGCTAAAACCAGAAAGTTCCAGGCACACCAAGGCAAGCCCATGGAGCTCTGGAGACTTCTGAGGCCAGAAGTCCTGGTCATCCATGTCAGCCAGATGGAGCTCGGAGAGCAGCAAGCCTGGAGCTCCCAGTTTACAGACAAGAGAATCAAGGTCCAGAGGAGGGTAGGGACGAGCCCCAGGTCACCCAGAAAATTGGTGGTAAAGCTTGGTCTAGAATTTTGGTCTTACTCCCTGGCTGGTGTTCGGTCCTACACCAAGCTGCCCAGTGAGGTCAGTGTTTCCATCCCCTCAGCCCTGGACATCCTTACCTCCCCCACCCATCATCCAAAGGGAATGCAGGTGGGTCCTCACTAGGTGGGGGGATCCCTCACACAGACCAAGGAATATCCCCAAGAGGGATGCCAGCCTCCTTCCACCTGCTGAACAAGGATGGGTTTTCTCATCAGTGAAAAGGGCATACCTTCACCCACAAGTCCCTTTTTATAACCTCTGCCTCTCGTCACGGCAATCCTGCCTGCTCTGGCAAAGTGCTGGGGGCACACGGTTGCTGAATGAATGGCTAAAAGAATTAATAAATGAATGGACAAACAACTGCATTTTCCCCACCCCACTCCCCTGCCATTTCCACCTGGTAACTAGCCCTCAGCCTACAGGTGCCAAACTCATGCATAAAACCTCTGCCCTCCCAGAACCCTCCAGGTCTGGGGTGGAGTGCTTCCTTTAGGCTCCATGAGCACGCCTCCTATCCCATGACAGCCCCAGGTACACTCTCTTGTCATTGCTGGCTTTTCATCCGCATCTCTACCCCATCCCTGCCCCAACCTTCCAACATTTGCCAGACCAACTTATATAGTTCACTCATCTCACTGGATTTCAGTAAGTTTACCAAGTTGTGCAACCATCCTATAAATCCGTTTTAGAAATACTCCATCTCTCCCAGGAACACCCCTAGTGCCCATTTACTATTATTCCCTCTTTCCACCTCCTGCCCCAGGCAACCACTAATCTACTTTCTGTCTCTATGGATTGGCCTTTTCTGGTCATTTCATATAAATGGAGTCATACAATACGTGGTATTTTGTGTCTCGCCTCTTCCACTGAGCATCCTGTTTTTGCCATGTTGTAGCCTTCCGGGATGATCATGCCTTGTTATTGACAACCTCTTTTTAGATTTTGATAGTTTGGATCCTTCATTACCTTACTTTTCTGCACTTCAGTTCTTCAACTGGAAATAGGACCAAGTATGAATATCTCCCTCCCAGGGTGAGTGTCAGGGTTAAATGAGTTCATACGTGTAAAATGGGCATGTAGGCAATGCTCAATAAATAATAGCTATTAGCACCATTAATTTTTTTTCCATTATTTTGCTTACGCACCTACAAAAAGCCCACAAATACATAAAGAGGTAGGGGGAAAAAGCATCTCCCGCCATCCCACACCCAGGGACCCTCTCTGGCACCTCAGATCAGTGCCGCTGCGAGGGAGAATAAACTGCTCCCTCTCCCTGCATCCCCCACCCGACCCCCCCAGGCTGCAGCTTCTAGAACATTCCCATCAGGTTTCTTCCTGGTAAAACAAAACAGTGCAGTAAAACATGATGGCACAGAAGAAAGGGAGTGGCTGCAAGCCCCGTATGATGC